CGTAGGGATCAACCACTGTTCGAATTTAAGTTTAGCGACTTCAACTTCTACATCCCGTTGTGCAACTTCGCCATTTCTGAGCTCAGCCTCGTAGATGGGCTTGCAACAAATTGAAGGAGATTTGGCGGACCGCAACAGACTACGCGTTGGCGAAATTCAGGATCTTATTGCCCTGCAGTCTGCAGAAGATATATTTAGCTCAAAGAACCTCTATTCTTCCAAACTTTCTAGCAACAACGCCAAAAGCTCGTTGTATCGACTCTCATCAGCATGGCAGTTCTACATAGCTTCTTGACCGCCATCACGGCATGCGCTGCTTTTGTAAGTCAATCAGAGTCGGACGAACCTATACTGCTTGAGTTGACACCACACTAGATTGCAGTATACACAGTATCATGCATCTTCTACAACCTTTTCCTCCATCCACTTCGGCACTACCCAGGGCCAATTTCCATGAGAGCGACAAGATGGGCTTTCTGCCACAGACTCATCAAGGGCGCCCTTCCTATGGACGTCTTGGAACTTCACAAGAAATACGGAGACGTAGTCCGCGTCGCTCCAGACGAACTGGCTTATTGCAACGTCAACGCTTGGAAAGACATCATGGGCCACCGGTCCGCAGGCTCGCCAACGTTCGAAAAAGCCCCAAAATTCTACCGCCCGACGGCCGAGCAACCCATCAACATCGTCAACACCAACGGCGCGGAGCACGCAATGCTAAGACGGCAACTATCCCACGGCTTTAGCGAGCGAAGTCTTCGCGACCAGCAGCCTCTGATCATTAAGTACGTGGATCTTATGATCCAGCGCCTGCACGAGCATTGTTCTGGCGAAGAACCTGTGGACTTGATGTCGTGGTATAACTTTACGACGTTTGACATCATTGGGGATCTGGCGTTTGGTGAACCGTTTGGGTGCTTGGAGAAGTCGGAGTACCACCCGTGGGTGAAGGCTATCTTCCAGTCGGCTCGCCTGGGTGTATTCGCGCAGACCGCAGGTCATTTTCCCTTCCTGAAGAAGATCATCTTTACGCTTTTGGCGACGAAAGCGGCGAAGAAGGCTAGAGGCGAGAATTTCGCTAGGGCCAAGGCCAAGTTGGAGAGGCGTATGGAGCTCGGCAAGAAGGAGGGTGGCAGGCCTGATTTGATTGAGGGCTTGTTGAAGAAGAAGGACGAACTGGTAATCATCTCGTCATTTCCAGTACCTTGCCAGAGTATTATCTCTCTAATGACTGGTCAAACAGAATATCTCGTTCGAGACGCTTGCGGCAAACAGCAACACGCTCATCATTGGGGGATCTGAAACGACAGCGACATTACTGGCCGGAGTTACCTACTACCTCCTCATGAATAGGGATTGTCTGGCCAAACTTACGGATGAGGTACGATCATCTTTCAAGACGGAAGAGGAGATCAATCTAGTATCTGTCAACAAGTTGACCTACATGCTCGCTTGCCTGGATGAAGCGCTCAGAGTCTACCCTCCAGTCTCCATGGGCCTCCCAAGAGTCACACCCAAGGGTGGAGCGACTATCTGCGGAAATTTCGTGCCTGAGAACGTGAGTCAGTCTCTCATACTTGGCCTGCATGGAATTACTGACGATACTGCCACTAGACTATTGTTGCGATTCACCAGTGGGCCATAAACCACAACGAGCAGTACTTCAAAGACCCGTACGGATTTCACCCCGAGAGATTCATGGGAGATGAGAAATTCGCATCGGATAACAGGGAAGCTTTCCAACCTTTCCACATCGGCTCACGGAATTGCTTGGGGCGGAAGTGAGTGTCGTCATCCAACTGATTTCATGGGAATGTGTCGCTAACCGCTGCAGTCTGGCCTATGTTGAAATGAGACTCATTCTGGCTCGCCTAATTTGGAACTTTGACATTGAAATTGACGAGGACTACAAAGACTGGGCCAAGAAGCAGCAGGTCTTTATCTTGTGGGATAAAGTCCCCCTGAAGGCGCGCTTGACACCAGTGGCTCGATAGAGGGCACGACTCGGATCTTCTTCCGTCGAGAGACTGTAGGTATATATGAGGTCGGGCGGGTCAATTCTGTACGTCGGGAATAGAAAGTAGCATTAGAGATTGCCTGTTCTCTTTGTAAATTCCAAAAATCCTCCTCCGAAACCTTGTTCTAGAGTCGTAATGATCCTTCGGCGACAAGCTTGTCTCGTCACTTACACCCACCGCTTGAACTGGTGCTTATGTCAGCACAGATCTTTCGTGAAATTACGCTTACCAGCTCATCCCTGATGTTTTCCTCAACTCAACGCGGCATGACCATCGTAAAGCGGCTGTCATCAATCCGCGCAAGTCCTCAATCTGAGCACAGAAGAAAGTCACCCGGCTCTGCTATCATTGAGTCATCTCAAGAAGTTGTCATGTCTGCCTCAGCAAGAACTTGGCGCGACAGCGCGTACCTCGTCATCTCTGGCATACAGCTGACGGCGATGCTTTGTGAGTCAAACCTCTATCGCTTTGCGTCAATTAATATTGCAATCTATCGATATGCTATCATGTATTTATGAAAACTTGTCGGCGGAAGGGTGTCGTCGTGACTAAGGATTCTGGTTTCTGGAGCGTCTCGGGTCTTTCAGCAGCCTTCACGACCTCTCACCCATAGAAGCCAGAGCTGACCATCCTCGCATCAGTGGTTGACCTCGTCCCATTCTACCCATCAGCTCTCTACGCGGCACCCTCATCCCCATTACACTTCCTCCAAGTCCTCCGCGACTTCTACATCTCCACGTACAACGACCCCTTCTTCACCGCGTCTCACGAGAACCTCCCCTCGTGGTTCAAGCTCTTCACCTATATCGAGATCGTCTACCAGCTGCCCATGGCTGCCTGGATGGTCTACAGGTTCTCGAGAAACACTGGCACAACCGCCGGATTCGAACTCGCCGTGCTCGTCTTCTGCGTCGAGTGCGCTCTCACGACGTTGACCTGCATCTACGACGTCTTCCACTGGGATCCTGCCGTGTACAGCCAGGCTCAGAAGAACGTTTTTGTCTTCAACCTCTACGGCCCATGGGTGGTCATCCGTAAGTGTAATCGACTTTTGCGATAAATCCTCAAATTAAGCTAATCTCAAAAGCGGCGCTGATGGGACTGGACATGTGGCTGCGCATTTTGAAGCGGGTGAACCCCGCAGACGGCACCAAGAAGTTGCAGTAAGAGGAGTTCGCTGGGTCTCCATTGAAGCAGGTATTGGTTCCATTAAGATATCGCTACAAATCCTGCTCCCGTTAGCCCGCGCGTGCGCGGATCCAGATGATCGATTCCAAAACTCCATTTCCCCAGTCCAAGTGGGCAGGTCAAGGCCATCCCAGTTTAATTCGTCCATCAAAATAAAACTCCCCTCATCCATCATAAAAGCCTCTCAAAGAGGGGGGCAGCTAGCAGATATACATGAATCGGATCAAATCGTACAGATTTCTCGTGACGCGAACGCTTTGTTGGTGCTTTCTTTCAATCCATCCTCTTGGCCGCTTTGGAGTAGCCCCAACCGTTGCCAACGCCGTTGAGACCGTTGAGACCGTAACCGAGTGGCGTCGCGCCGCCCATGCCTCTTCCGCGTACCCTCTTGGGCAAGACGACTCCGAAAAAGTACGTTGACGCGACGAGCACGCCTGCCATGAACGAGGTGATGATGTAGAAGACGGTGCTCGCGTAGACGTGCCCGCCCATACCCTGCCACTCGACGTGGCCCTCCGACTTTGGCAGGTTCGGCGTCGGAAACCATCTAACAGACAACCGTAGCGGCAACGGATCACCAATCACAAGTCTCTTTGTGTATATCCCGTCCATATGGCTCAATGGACTCGTGCTATACGCCGTTGCGGAATCGAGGACACCCGAGTCGTGAGGTCGGGTGTGGTGCTTCGGCATGCTGTGCAGGAGCACGTTCATGTGCGTGCTAACGTGCAAGTGGCTCAGCTGGAGGGTGCCGGCGAGGGCGAAGACGAGAGGAATGTATTCTTGCACGTAGGGCTTCTCGCCGACGGTCTCAACGTGAGGCGCGGGTCGGGCTGGGAGACGGCAGGCAAGAGGTGCATCGTTGTGGATGAAGAACTCGAGGAGGTGGAAGAAGGGGTCGGAGACCATGGGGATGGTGCAATTGACTTCGCCCTCGTGGCCGTATTGGAACTCGAGGGGCTTGTTGGTTTCTTCGCAGGAGGGGAAGGGGATCCATTCGATTTCGTGGTTGGAGTTTTCAATATGTTCGCCTGTTTCGCTGAAGAGGCATTAGCTAGAGCTCGAGCTATAGCCTAAAGGCAGTGGAGACGAAGCTCTTGATGATGAATGAGAACGGCTAAGGGGAGATACTCACGAGCTGCGGTTCATGCACTCCACGTGGATGGGTGCGCCGTAGTGGTACGAAGGGAGACCATCCTCGGGATGCGCAGCGTGGACGCCGGAAGCGCAGAGAGCGACAGCGCCCAGGAGTAACTGCGCGAGGGACGCCATAATGTGTGTGCGCGGATGGAATAGTCGGTGATCGTGCAAGCGGCAAGAGGGAGAAAGGGTCCTAGCAGATCGGCCGGGGCATTTCCTTGACTCGGGGGGATGCGCGACGGGGGTGGGAGCTATTCCGGACCAGCTTTCCCCGGAGTTCAACTGTGGTTCTCTAATCGATTTGACAGCTGTCGCCCAAGCTCTGCGCTCCCCAGCCTCAGATAAGGGATAACCAGATAAGCTATCGATAAGGGTCACGTGGATGCCTAAGGTAGGTAAATGGAAGTACCGCCCCTTTCTCCGACCAGAAAGTCATGCACAACCTAGGTTATCACAGAGATGGAGTATCTCTTGAAGGGGACGGAATCATGGGGGTAGAAAACTTTGGTTTCTTTCAGCTGACTACTTTTTTGGTTGTGGGCGTAGACTCGGTTCTCAAGTGAAAGCATGCTGCATCGTGACGGCACCCTCGAAACTCTTGCATTGTCCGAGTCAACCCGTCAACCCGGCTAACGTGGATTGCAACTGGCGAATCTACTCATGAGCTTTATCCAGACTCTCTGTGAGATCATCGACATCAGTGAAACTCCCTGCATCCATATATGATGTGATTTGATATGTCTGAAGCGGCAATGGCCGACGCTCATTCTGCTGCAAGTTCTTCTTGTATCCGAGTTGATTGTCCATGCTAAAGAACGTTTTCACTCCCCTGCAACCTGAATAGGCAGCTTCCCTCGGATACACTTGTGTGGTGCACACGAACATCTTTATCTTTGGGGATAATCTCAAGGTAAGTCCAGCGGAGCAGGGGCTGATAGACGCTGAAATGGTTGTTGCGAGCGCCTGAGACCCAATGAGGTTTTTGACGTCGTAATTGGCGACTGTGAGGTTTTGCAAACCCTCATTCGCGGATACTGAAGTCAAATCGTCGAGGTTTTGAAGCTTTGTCCCTCGTCCTGACAGAATGGGAACCGAGTTAACGCAGATTCCCATTAGCAACAAACTGGCAGGGTTCATGATATTATCTTGTCTCGAAGTGGAAGGGACCACTACATCGGAATGATCGTCAGCGGTTGAAAGACATATCGAATTTGCCGTTGGTGCGGGCTCATCGAGAGAATGAGACATTGCGTGAAGGCTCTTTTCTGAATTTGCAGTCCATTCTGTTATCCTTCGGGGCAAATCCCATCTTGAGACCGGAGCAGTGGAAAGCAATGAAGTCCAAGGCTGGTTCTCGCATCCCATGTGCCTCAAAGAGACCCGGGAGACCTTAAGCGGGTCATCTGGTAAACCTGAGCTTCCTCTGTGCATATCGAATTTTTCAAGAGTATCTCGTTTTTGTCTGTGTCTCCTCGTTCGCCGTGTCGTCTTTCCTTTACATCTCTCAACTTTACTCCCAGGTTTCGAGGACGTTGCTTGAAATCTTTTCGTGCGGTATTTGAACCACTCCCATTTCATAAACCTGCGCTTGTACATTCTCTCGCTTTCAATTTGAAACTTATTAGAATGTTTCTCATCTTTTTGGATATCCTGAGTAGCTTACCTAGCCCTGAATGAATGAACGTTTGACATCTCTTCAACTACCTTTCCAAGGCTCAAGTTCTTCAACATGTAAAGGTCATACAGAATTTCCTTCCTATCTTCCCAGTCGCTTCCACGCGATGGATTGAAAAGGCGTCGTCGACAGTCTGTTCCCATGACTCAAATAAACGCGCTTCAACGCGTGATGATTCTAAATCCGATGGAGGTATTGCGTTCCAAGACTGCCAACTGGAGCAAGCGACCAATGTGCCATACGCCAGAGTTTGATGTTGACTGTTTATTCATATATGTCTTCCGCTAGAATTTGTCTGCCTGGATACGATGAGCAATTGATCACTGAATAATGCAGCACGTCCATACTACTTGATGCGATTTTCCAGTTTCTGAGAACTGAATATGCCTTAGGCTGAAGGTCTACGTAAAGCAGCTCACCATCATCTCGTTATTGATATTGATTGGCTAAGACTTCGCCCTACTCACGTATTATGAAAAGATGCGCTGTAAGCCGCAGCACCTGCCCTGCATCTAAAAGCCCATGCATAAAAGTACTGCGCCTTGGCCATCATTCGACTGGTCACATATGTCTCAGTTGGATTGGTTCTTATCAATCATTGCAGATTCGTCCACCAGGATCGAAGAGGGCCTTTTATGCAAGAACGCCTCGTCTGTTGGCGGCCTCTTGACTGGATCAGCAGGGAGGTACAGTGTACCTCGAAAAGGCGGCTCCGCCCCGGCTTTTGGGGGAGTTAAGATTTCCCGCCTTCGTCGACAACATCTCTACTCCCTTCTCTTCACTCTGCGTGGATTAGTAAGTGGTCCAACACGCCGAGTGCCATCAGCATGTCGCGAGAAGGGCCATGATCTTTGTCATGTAATTCCCTCTTGTTACTCAATGAGAGCGATGGAAATCATGCCTTGCCGGTGAAGCAAGGCCGCATCCATATCAGGCTGCCCCTCACTCAAAGGACCAAGGAAGACCACTTCGTCGGGGAAAATATGCGTCGAGTTGTAGATGTTGAGTACTTATTGACGAGTAGCTTGAACTACTTAAATAGCCTGAGTGCCTTCGGCGTTACGCATATTTAACCCTATAACTGCAAAGAAAAGCACAGTCATAGTTAAGAAAGACCAGCGATCGCCTCCGAATCCTCTCTCAAGACTGCCTCCCAGAAAGCCGAGCTCCCAATGGACCGTTTGTGACTCTCAGCCCGCTCAAGCTTTCCCCTCTTTGTCCAAAAAATGACCAACTGAGCTCGATATATCATCACCCTTGGCCCTAGCAGCTCTTCCCAGGTGTCATCCTTGGTGATCGCACACCTAAACCGCAAGATACAGCTCTCCAGATTCTCAGCCCACCCATCATCGTCCCCAGCGTCGTCGAAGAATCTACAGAGCTCGTATATGACCTCTCCAGAAATCCACAGCAGCCAGGATTCCCAAAGACGCCACTCCTTATCGATAGCAGCTGACTTGATGCGATTCAGCAGTCTGTTGCAGCGATCCACAAATTTGCCGTCAGGTTCGATGGATCGCAGAAGTTCAATCTTCCAGAGTTCGTACTCGATCATGTTGGGCGACTGGAGCGAACCTTGATTTGTGGCGGCGAGAAACTGCATGTTATCCAAGGCAATGATGATGTTCTCCGTTTCCGCTGCATTGGAAGTGCCGCCAACAGCTTTCACAGCCTCAATGCGCCTCTCAATGTTATCGAATGTATCGCAACCCTGAACATCTCGGTAGCTGTCAGCTACAACTCTGTACAGTTGAGGCAAAAAGGCCTGAGCCTCATCGTAGTATTTGTCTATAAGCTGAGCCATAGCATGCGCGGCGTCTGCGATGGGACTGCCTCCTTTGCCGTAGTGACTGAGTAAACATTGGAGGTAGAGGAAGTAGATGTTGAGCAAACGGCGTTCGTCCAAGGGCTCGTCCTTGAACTCGTAGAATGTGATTGGGATGTCTAGAAGCAAGGTGGCGTAGATAGTGATGTCGCTCTTCTTGACAAGATCGTCGAGGCCCCGGAACATGTGTCTAATTGCGGAAAACCCATTTAGAGTATCTTGAACAGCGAGGTGCTCCAGTCCCACGGCGACCCTGGACGTGAGCTCATGTCCGTAAACCGGCAGACGTCCAAGACGGTTCGGCTGTGTCCACACTGCGTCTTCTTTCCAAGATCTGTGAATGAGGTCTCTCATACATTGTAGAAGTGTAGCGGAGAGTTCAAGTTGTCCATTAGGCATCGGCGATGGAATTGCCTCAGTGACCTTCTTGATTTTCGACTGTGATCGGCCATGTCTTCGCGACGTTGGCCCGTTTGAGATTGTGAAGGATCTGCCAGCGAGTACATCCTGTTGAACGGCTTTGGTGTTATTTTTCCTCCACTTCCATTTCTGGAATCGTCCCTTGTACTGCCTTGAACTGCAAGCATGGGCGTTAGTTAGAGATCCGCGATCTGGTCTGTGACCTTCACCTACCTCGCGAAGAATTGGTATTGCTCGGCCATAATGCGCTCGGTGGCCTGTCTCGAGAGGCAGTCTCTCATGTATAACTTCTCGATGTCTGGCTTTCGAGCCTCCCATTCTTGTTCGGTGATAACGCGAGATCGTCCCAAGGAGGCCGTGCTTGCGGGGGATATGCTTGACTGAGGGCTCGGGAGTGTCTGAGTGAGGGGAGAGGAGGGCGACTCGCCGATTGTGTCGGCAGCGCCACCCCCTGGAAGGATCCAGGGCGAAAACCAGCAGTCAGGTCCATTTTGAGACTGAATCGATTCCAACTTGACCTGCAACATTAGAGGACCGAGGCTGTTGTTCATGAAATGGTCTGAGTCTTGAACTTCAGGGACCCCGCCAGGTGCTAGAAGAGTATTCCCGAAGTCAATCAAACCGTCGTAAGAGAAGAATGGCGTGGTAGGTTCCGCTTCACTGTGATCTGAAATCAAAATGCGGGGGAAGGAGGAAGTGGAAATTGGAGGGAAACCATGCATGTCTGCATCGGGTGTCTCTCCCGCCATGATAGCACGGAGTGTGTAGCTAAGAATGGCGATGAGTAAGATGTCAAAGGTCTACGAAGGCGTAATGGGCAACAAAAGGAAAAATAGCAAAGGCTTCACAGCACGGGGGCAGCTGATGTTAAGTAAGCCCGCGGAACTGCTCTACTACTTTGGCAAGTTCTCGTTGTTCAGGAGCGAAGATGCTCAAGGAATGCATCGCAGGCCGACAACACGGGCAGTGAAGCCGAATGATACCGCGCTAGCTTGACAATAAGTCCAACCTCTGGGGTGATCTGCTAAAAGTCCCCCAGGTCCTTTAAGTCTTCCCGTTCCGGGTTCCGGGACAGCTTTGGGAATGGGCTTGGCTCATTGGGCACTGGAGCCAGGGTTCTCGCATTGATGTGTTTCTCTCTGAGTACGGTGACTGAAGTCCTGCTGTTGCTGAATGGAAATAAGGTACTTTAAGTCAATCAACGCAAGTGCTGGTCCCCCGTCCGCGGACTATGCTGGTCTAGCTAAGCGCGAAAAGCGCGAGTCCACATACTGGGCTCCGGTGCTTGAAGCGCAGTATTCAGCAGTGAGGGGGATTGCGTGCATATCAATTATTCTGTGGCTCAGCATGGTTCGCGCCCATCAACGGACCAGGTTGGCAAAGGGGTGTTCGCCTGACGCCGTCACTCTCCCCCGACGACTCACCTCGTTGGTGCTTCCCCTCTCGCTTCGTACAGTTTGAGTCCCGCGTCAGAAATCAAGCCCACTGGTACCTTCCCACATCTTGACCATCACGAAATGAGTAACACCAGGTGAACCGATAGGCCCTTGGGCCCGATTCCAGATTAACAGAACGATAATTCTTATCTGGCGAGCTCTCTAATTCTCCAGCCCGGCCAATTTTCCCTCTTAGAGACACCGAGTTTATGAGCTCTTACGTAGTATTGACCGAGTTGTACCTGTTGAGCTTGAGCCTGCCTCATTGGGTTAGACTGAGATGTTTGCCAAGAAGACTGCCTAACAGATGGAAGTGATTAAAGTACCGGATGCTGCTGGAACAGGTCAAAAGGATTTTGTGTTCTCGTGATCAGCTCCGAAGAGTAGAAACTTAACATATTAACCAGAACGGCGCTATCAAAGCGAGTTTGCAATGACTACCAATACTAAGCAATGTCTTCAAGTAGTCGTCGATAACAAAATTGATAATTCGCACAACCCACGAGATCTTTAAGACAGAAGTCACTAAGTAGATTCGACTACATCCGCATGAGTCCCCTGCCCTAAATTTTGGAGATAATCATACCTGAAGGAGCTTGAATTACTTAAATGGTCATGTTAGCAGACTCCTGGTTGCCAAGAACACTGAGAGGTGGTCCAAATCCATGGCTTGTGATAAGTCCCCCCCCCTCCCCCAGTCCCTCAGCGATGCTTATGACTTTTGCCAACATCCTTTAGTTGAATTAACAGTCATTGAAGGAAGTCTCGGTGTCCTAGAAGCGTTCAAAGCAGCCTATAAGGAGTTCTTCCAGTCGGTAGTCACTGGAATACATAGACACTCTACCTTATCAGACTCGAGGATTAAGTTGCTTATATTTACGAGTGTTTGCACCATGTTTTCCACGATAGGTCGGTGCTCTTATCTGGTCGGATACTGAAGATTACTTCATTGGGTTTTTGACCGCAATCAAATCCGCGAGATTCTCGAATATTTGAATGGTTGTTGCTAGTCAAGCCTCGATGAAATGGCGACGGCTGCTGCTGCTGCCGCTACTGCTGCTATTCTTTATTGCTTCTACCTCTTCGATAAGCCCAAGATCCTCTTGATGTTGATGCCAACTATATTCACAAAGGTTTGAGCAGTCCATCCATTGACCCTTGAATATTTGTCAATGGTAGTCGTTCCATTCAACACATTGTACGCCACCGATCTCAGGTTGACACAGTCATCCTTGTTCTTGATGCACCCAGAAACAGCTTCACCCGCGTTCTTCCCCTCGTAATATGCACCTTGTAAGAAGCCAAAGTACTGCGGGTGAGTGGCCTCGCCAGCAAACCACAAGTTTCCGAGATTGGCGCGGATGTTTTGATGCATCTCCAACGTCAGGGCCGGAGGCCAGTTCGAGTATGACCCGTATGCCCAAGGTTCGCGAGTCCAGTTGTGATAATAAAAGTCAATGGGATCGGGGATCTCTTTTCGAAACATGCCCTTCAGAACGTCCATGATTTGTTTCTTCGTAGTATCAAAGTCCTGAGCCTCCACGGTGTAAGATTGCTGGTCGACGACGGTGACAAAGATGATGCCGGAGCCGTCCACAAAGTCTTTGTGATCCAGTGACTGGAAGTAGGGATAGTAACCTCGCTGTACTGGGTCGGCATACAGAAAGAATTGTGTGCTCTTGTCCCAGAACACGTCTTCTGGCTTGAACTGCATAAAGATCTTCGTGTAAGTACCCATAGTCATTGACTGGATGGCCGTTCGTTTCCAAAGCGGCAGCTCTGGCGAGAAGTTAACCACCTCCTTCTGCAAGACACCCAGCGAAAACGTGCAGATGGCGTAGTCGGCGACGATGCAAGTGCCGTCCCCATTATGCACTGTGACACTGTCGTCAGAGTAGGTAATGTTCTGGACGATAGTCCCAAGCCTCAGCTGGGTTGTCTCGTTTAGGAAGCGCTTCGCTTCTTCCTGGAAGAATGTGGCAAACCCTCGCTCGTCGTGCACCAGGTTGTTGTCATCCTTCCAGCGCTTGAAGGATGTGTTGGTGTTGACCACGGAGTACTGCTGGGACGTCTTCTCCGGTGGATTAGCATATTCGAAGTCTATGGAAGACCATTCGATAACTTGTGCCAGCGGGTCACTTCCCGGCTTCCAGCCTGCGATTGCGAGACCGGCACGGGCACTGCGATCTTGCTGATTCTTCAGGATGATTTCGCCAGCGTCGTACTCGTACTTCCTCGTGATATTTACGAACAACTCATCCAACTTGTCAAACTTGTCTGTCCATTCTCCAGGCCATAATTGGCCAGTCTCGTTGAAGGCTGTAACATTGTCGAAGTCAGAAAGCGTGTTTCTCAGGTTGTGCTTCTTAACCAGAGTCAAAATCGGATTTTCCTCTGTTTCACTCTCCGTTCCTTGAACCCTGTTGGTGATGTAAATAGGCTTGAACACCAAAATTATTCTGGAGCTACATACCAGTTCGCACCAAGCTCTACAGAATAGGACTCATTCGTACCCGGCTTCTTTCCAAAGGGTCGGTTGTAAACGCGTCCACCAATCCGATTATTGTACTCAACGATGACAAAGTCTGTGATGGACGCATTTACCAGAGTTTGGGCAGCCGTAATTCCTGCGAGGCCAGCACCGAGAATGGCTACTTGGACCTTGCTGCAGTTCCCCTTAGTTTCTGCAAGAAATTCTTTAGTCGGCGCAGTCTGCGCAACGGGAGCGATAAGGGCAAGTACGCCGACAAAACGCGCAAGTGACAGCATCGTGGAGAGTATCGATCAGCCCTAACAACCTTGCGCTTTAACTAATGAAGGGGATAGCCTAGAGCAATCAAGGAGAACACAGAGCACTCAAGAAGTATCAGGACTTTTATACTTCTGCTTCTCCGAGTCGCTTGCGGCGCCAGAGACGTTTGCCAAGGGGGGCATCTTAGTGAATTCCGACTCACCTCGTGAGCCAGCGGGCGTCTTGTTCCAAAAGAGGCATCGCCAACTTCACGACTTCGAGTCGTTGGCCTCGAATCCGCCTAGGTCTCACATCATGGGCATTGGGCATGGTTTAGAGAAACAACCTTGGTACTTCTCAGTGTTCATGTCTTTACTCGCGAGGTCTGTACTAGACATGTCGTTATAATATGGCATCTTAGCAGTCACTCTGGTCCATGGCTAATGTTCCTCCTTCCATCCTTCAGGTGCGGCCCGAGCCAGATGCGGCTACCGTACATCACGAGTGTGCGACAGATAAATTCACCAAGTTCGTGGATTGACGAATAATAACGTGAGTCCGCAGCCCTAGCCAAGCCGTAATGTTCAGCAAATAACTTTGTTTTCAGTACAAGAGAGGGAATAACTAAGGCATGGGACCAAATAAGACATATCAGCCGCACAAACAAGCGCCACAATGTTGGTCGAGAGACCCCGCGCACGCGGAACTGTTTTCATCAGGGCTTCGTCTGAGACACGACTACCTTCAAGTAGACAGTTTAGCTCAGCTCTGGATACTCGTTTCCTACTCCAGATCGTCTCCCAAATTGCTTCTGTCAACATCTTGCCGTGAAACCTACAGCTGCCCAGACAAACAAATCCTCAAGAGTCTCATCCTCCTCTGCCAGGACCCCCGGACAGCCTCGTCCCTACCTTACTTCGCAACAGTCCCAGAAGCAACAATGCAGGCAAACCCAACATCCCACCCCTTCCCCTCATACTTCCCTTCCAAATGCTCCCTAATCAACCCCTTCACCTCCTCCAATCCATGCTCCCCCCTCAACTCCTCATTCCACTCCGTGTTCACAATCAACGCAACAACTGGCCCAAACACATCCAACCAGTGCCTCGCGTCTCTCACCCTCACCGTCCCGCTCTCCAAACACGTCTTGACGTCCTTGAACCCATTGTCCTGTAGATACCCCTTGACCCAAGCCTCGTCGTACCACCACCCGACATCGTGAACCTGCGCACGGTTCTTCTCCTCGAACGGCGCGTCAAAGGGGAAGGATGCGAATGCTGACCTCACGTCCGCGACCCAGCCTATATGGTCGACATGCGGTGTGATACAGCCGAAGACCCCATCGGGCCTGAGGATCCTGACGACGTCTTTGATGGTTTTGTCTGGGTGGGGGATGAGATGTAGACCGAGGCCGATGACTACGTGCGTCAACGAGTTCTCAGCTAATCCAGAGTCCTGCCCGACAGCACATCAGTAACGGAGAAATTCCTTTGGCAACAATCTCAAAGTTCAATAGGTAATATAGGAAAGATAGTCAAGCTTACCATGGCATCCAAAACCCTCGCACTCGCCCCAACCCACCCCTCCTCCCGAATCCTCCTCTCCACTAACCCAACCATCATAGGCGACCCATCCGCACAAACGACCTCGCTCTTGTCCAACACCTCTCGGGACACAACCTTGAACAACTCCTGCGTAGCCGGACCAGCCCCACAAGCGCTGTCGAGAAAGGCAATGGGCTCCGTCGTGTGCTGGCCCAACCCCATCTGCTTCATAAGCCGCGCATTGAGGGGCACCATCATCGTCCGGCTCATCTCAATCATGGTTTCTTCCCAGTGCGCGCCGATGGTCTTGTCCATGGAGCGGAAGATGGGTGCCATGGGGCCTGCGGACTGGGAGGCGGTGGTGGCTGTCATTATTACGCTGGTATCTGAGTAAGGACAAAATAAGTCGCCAAGATTCCTGGTGTTAGAGAGATGTGTAAAAGCTTGGGGTACCCAGGCACGTAAGAGTGATAAAAAGCCAGGACGGTTTGGGCTGACCTCTGGTCGTTCGAACTGAAAGGAAACCTGCCTGCTGATATAGCCTGAAACCTCGGAAATATAAGTCAGCAGGATCTCACTTGGTGTGGTGGGAATCAGACCGGGGAAGTTTCCGATAAGTCGCCGGCAAGCTCAATCTCGCTCAATCTGGCTCAGCCATCGCGACTTGAGTTGACGACTAACACTTCTGATGGACTCGACGATGAAACGTGCGCGTTGGACTATTGCTCATTCAGCTCCAAGGCGCATCAACGTGAGGGCGAGCGGCGAGGGACACGCCCATATGTGGACCACATTGCTCCATCTCACCACCAAGCCTCCCACCCGAATTTCTCATGACCATTTCCTCAAATCACATTATCATAGCTAAGCCATAGTCAAAGTCCGGCCTCTCAAGTGCTGGGAAAAGTGTTCATATAATAACACCAACTAGACATCCAAAGCCTAAGCCTAAGCCTACACCGCCTAACCAGCCGCGCCCCGGCCCAAAACCCCGTCCGCGTCAAATACAAGGTTTCTTTTCGCATCTTCTTTGTACACTTCCGTGGCTCACTCTGAGAGCCCAAGTCCGTAGTTCAGTCTTTATCTAGTTTTGTGTTTCTTCTCTTCACACGCCTTTGAGAAAACTCCCATCACGCCAATAAAGTTCCAGACATTACAGGAAGCGCAAGCTTCCAGAGGGACCTCTCTCAACAAGGCCATCAACATCTCTCTTCACCGTCCGCAGACGTCTCCGCACTTCTGACAAGTCCATGCCACCCGGGTTCGACCCGTGGCCAGCAGGGGGCAGTGATGCCTCGCATCTGCTGAGCAGGTCCTTAACCCACGCACCAAGGGCACCATCGCCCTTCATCGAGGCAGCTCCACGACGCTTGACCTCGCGTTGCCAAACATCAACAGAGAAAACAATGAGCTCAATGATGCGGTTGCGGTTGTTACCACTGAAGCCATAGTCTTGGGTATCAAAAACGCTCTCGAGAACGCGAGTGACCATGTCATTGGATACACCGAGGCTGAGGAAGAGCTGCACAGGCCAGGTGGGGTCCGCACCGATCTCAGCATCTTGGTGGTATTCAACGGCATACCGACAAATCTCGGGAAGCAGGACGGGCACCGGGAAGATGAAGCTATCCAGAGAAGTACGGTGGGCGATGTTCTGTACCTTGACTGACACAGATTCGTAGGGTGAGGGCAGAACAGGGATGCCGGGACCAGCTTCCTCCATTCGCTCTACAGCCTCCTCGTGGATCTGCTCGATGAGGCTGACCCATGTTTGGGAGATTGTGCTGGGGTTGCGGTAATCGGCGCTGTGGTAGATGAGGAGGCACAGATCATAGTAATTCGCTTGGTCGGCATATTGGTTGAACAGCTGTTAAATATTAGTCTCATTAAAAAACTGACCGCGACACTGGGGTACTCACGTCTGACAAGCTTATCACCTGGCCATCCAACGCTTCCTCAATTTGAGCCTTGCGATCAGGGTCAACGCGGCTGTCGGCCTTGAGCCTCTCCAACAAGTCATCCTGGATGTTGGCAATGTCGAGAAGCTCACTGACTTCGTGGGCCAGGACCTGCTGTTGTTGCCTGCCAACACCTGCCGTAGCAACGCTGGCATTCGCCTTGGCCTTGCTGAGAAGGATAATTCTGTCCTTGATACCAATGGCGAAGTCTGATTGGGCAAGATCATTCTGGACCTGAGCAGCCTCAAAGTACCGCTCGCGTTGGGTATAGAACCTGCAGAGAAGGTCGGCATGGTTCACATTGCTCCTCGCCAGACTCTGGAGGTATGTGATGACGTGTGGTGATTCGATAGCAAGAATTCTGTCAGTCCACCCCTGCTCGATGTACCACTCGTAAAGGTCAAAGTGGAAGACCTCGTCGTCCGAGTCGTTCACTACGCTATAGGCCTCGAGGCGTTTAGTGCCCATCAAAGTCAGTCTACCGTCGATCGTCTCCGGTTCCCTGCTTGACGCGGCATCCAGGTGTTGAAGAGCCTCGTGAATTAGTTCGTAGCATTTCCTACGCTCCGAGAAGGCATTAGCCCGAGGGTCGTTAGCGGGCTTGCCATCATGGACCCATGACAAAGCGGTGTTGCCTCTATCCTTCTCACGGGCAACAGTGAGGCAGAGCTGGATTGCACCGGCGTAGTACTTCAGGTCGATGTACTGAGAGACGGCGTTGTGTAGGTTGGCAAATGAAAGAGCACCGGCGACGCGCTCAAAGAGCCTCAAACTCTCATGCAGAAGTGCGCGAGACTGGTTGCTGTTGGACGGCTGCTCAGACGCTCTCTTCAATTGCTCCTGAGCCTTGAAGATGACAACATCATCGGGGCTGCAGAAACTACCACAGCGTCTCCGAAGAGCATCCGCGACAGTCTCGACGTTGGAACCGCTCTCAATGTTGCGATTGACGATGGACTTGACCAATAGCTTGGCAAGATCCTTGCCTGAAGACTGTGAGAACAGGCTCTCGTATGTGAGACTTTTCAGTCCTTGCTGCGCCGTCGCATCCAGTCTCGTGAAGATGTCACTGACACGCTCATCAAAGAGCATCAAGACGAACGAGATGCCCTCGGAGATGCTCTCCATCAGTTTCTGAAGTGCATGCAGAGCTTGGTGCTCTGCCTGGAGGGCCACTTCCTCTTGCTTGCTGGCCACTCTTTGAAGGTCGGAAGGACCCGACAGGCCCTGAATGAAACTCTTGTTTGCATCAAGGAATCTGCGGAGACGCTCCAGCTGCTCCTGAGTGGAGTGAAGCTTTGCGATGGGTACCATGGATTGAATCGCAACGCCGCCGGTAGGGCTGGCAGCAAGCGCGACCACGTGGTTCTTCCATAATGTGCGAATGAGGCGGGTGAGATAGACACTGAGAGCATCGTGCCTAGGGGACAGGCGAACGGAGGTTGTGTTGAGAGGGGTACCATCGGCCTCCGTGATAGAGGGCTGGCCACCGTAGTCGACGAATACGGTCCTGGCGCGGTCTTCTGTGGCCTGATCGATCGCGCGCGTTGCGCCTGGCCTGGCATCACCACCATGACCGCAAGCTACAGCAAGAGCGCAGGAGATGGTTTCCACACGGCCATACCGAGAAATGAACTTGCGAGTCTCCAGCTCCAGGCCTTCGTCTCCCACTGCACCACGAATGGCGGCAGCGAAAGTATCCACCAACCGGCGGCGGCGAATGATGTGTACACCAGTGTTGGTCAGCACGGCGAACTCGGTGGCCGGCTGGTCGAACTGAACCGCAAGTTCGTTGCCAAAGCCAACGGGCTGGTTTGCTGCGGCAAACGGCTTGGTAACTAAACCGACATCTTCGGCTCTGCTTCCAATATCGATCCAGTTTCCGTGCTCGTAATACTTGAGCGCAGCGGAAGTTGAGTTGGCCTTGATTCGGCCAGTCTCGGGAGCCGAAACAAAGAGCAAATCGATGTTCGGATCGTTGTCCTTAACGACGAAATCCAAGAAGTATCCCGGCGCAAATCGAGCTCCAAGCCTACTCAACTCCAGCGCCCTTGACCCAAGATCGATAACGGCATCACCCGCACTGTTAGTGCCGGATCGTCCAGGCTTGTCCGACGGGGGGAACTTGATGAACTGGACCTGCATACTTTGAGGGGGCGTGTTTGAAGAAACGCCCCCAATCATGTACGAGGCAGAGCTCGTCGCGCTAAGGAACAGACGGCAGCCGGTATTGGTGAGAGCCATAAGGTGCAGCTTCGACGCCTCTCGTGATGGAATAGCGCTGATGGCCACAAAAGCAGTTCGGTCGTTGAGGAGAGGAGACTGGGTAATCATGTGGGTGATGTCGCGTAGGCAGGCATTGCGCTCCTTTTCGATCACCTTGGTGAGCTTGTTAGGCCCGTCCATGTGGTATGTACGAATGGTGGATCTAGTCGAAAGTGTGTAGACGAGCTTCCGGGAATCGTCAATAACAATGCTCTGAAGACCTTCCGGAGACTTTTGTGCCCAGAATCCGCTCTGGAGAGTGACGACTGAAGACCAGCCGGGATTGGTGTGGTTGATCTTGCCGCATCTGTTTGAGAACCATTTCTCCTCCTGCTGGTAGTAAAGCTCATGGATATCGGTGTCGTTACTGCCTCCAAAGAAGATGCGGCCGTCCGCAGTGCCAGCGATAACTCTGACATCGGTGCCTCGGAGAGGGAGGTTAAGCTTGGTGCTATAAAGCGAAACGGTCTTGGTCCCCGATGGCGTGGTCTCGGCAGAAAGACCGAGAAGAATCATCTCAGAAGACGTCGCAACGACTAGAATGTGCGTAATGGTGTTGACGAAAATGCCAGGCTTGGGTGCAACGAGAGCGACGGCGTGAATCGTGTGCGGTTGGTCCTCGAAGCCAATAAGTTCGGGGTCCGGGTGGGTGTAGTCCCATAGGAACAGCGAGTTGTCGATGACCACCCAGGCATGGTTGATCTCGGCGAACAAGCCCATCAACGTCTGGAGCTGGCCGGTATTGTAGTGGCTGAAAACCTGGTTCGGGATCGGGTACATCTGGGTCTTGTGGAAGGGTGCCCAGGGCGAGTCGAGCGTGTTGAAGTCATAGTCTGACGATGCTCCTGCTATGTGGATGTCAGTAGCCGTCGCGCGAAAGGTTAGATAAAGGCAAGAGCAGTGAACTTACGCCTGCAGTAGGAATCGAGCTCGGGGTAGTTCTCGTCGGACTGGAGGAACTGGTTGACCGCTTGAGCTGCTCTCGTGACGGGCGGGAGGTTTTGCTGGGGAGCCGGAGCAGATGAGGTCGACACCAATCCTCCACTTGTGCTGGTTGATGCAACCGTAGCGGATGCCAAATTTGATCCTGCCACCAGCGCGCCACTGTTGCTTGAAGGTGCTTCGCCCTCCGCAAAGAGTCGTCGTCTAACCGGCTCGTTGTCGTTAGCGAATCTGGAGGCTGCGGGCGTGTTGAGGAAGGCGCCTGGCACCGGCCGCATCGGCGTCATCTGGGGGTAGGACATGTTGTCGTCGAGTAGTTCGATCGATCGGGGTAGTGAAAGGCGGGCAAACGCGTCGCAAACTGGCGGCCAGTGAAGGCGGTTTGGAGTCGCGCTACCGAATCATCAACAAGTGATGGCAGGTGTGATCCTGTCAATTGGAGGATTCGAGAAGTGGAAAATATTCTTCTAGGGGTGTGCGATGCGGAGCCTTGCGCAGCTCGTGCCGGACGAAGGGAATGAAAAGAATTGGAGCTTCGATGGCTCGGTGTGGAAAGGTGAAGGTAATTCGAGCGAGGGCAGTAAAACGCAGCAGTAAACAATTTCTGGAGGAGCTCAAGAGGCTGGGGCCGCCGAACGCTTGGAATTTTCGCGCCTGGAGCCGCGCTAAGCCACATTGGGACACAAGGCTGACCCTGACGTTTGCACCACTCGAAGCTTGCGCTTGCAGTAGCTCTGCGAGCTTTGGGTACTAAACTCAGGTACCTTACTTTGGTTGATTTAAATCTCCTTCATCTCGAACGGGTTCTCTCTCTCTCATATTAAGTACTCGCTTTTTTATTCTAGTCCATTTGAAACCGTGACTTTTCCCGAGCCGTGATCCCTACATAACTCATGCAAATGGCCACTACACCCTGAGCCCAAGCCACTGTTATTCACCTCTCATCTACATGTTCTTTCTTCGTCCATGCTTCATATCTCACAAGAGATCACAATGAAACTTCTTTAGGCGCTTCGTTTCGCCCATATATCGTCACGGCACTTCGGCCAGCTTTAAAAGCAATAGCGTGTTAGACTGCGCGACTCATCAACCACAACAGATGATACTTTCTGCTCCATTTACTGCTTCTTGGCCTCGCGAGCCGCCTTCCTAAGAGCACGGTTGCGAATGTCAACGTGCATCTTCAGGTTGAACCAAAGGGCCAGGTGGTGGGCGGCACCAATGGTGCTCTCAACAGCCCACAGCATAAGAGCGTGCGTCCACCAAGGAGTGTAGGTGTAGGCGAAGTTCTGGTAGCTGCCAGAGCCAATCTTGCTGAGAGTGGCACGGACGAAGTTCTTGGGTGTCGGGATCATGGCGCTTGAGCGGCGGACCTTGCTCATAGCGGTGGTAATGAGGTAGCTGAGAACGAGCTCGACGTCGATGCCCTGGGGCTTCAGCTCAGCCGCGAGAGAACTGCTCCAATGTTGTAGGAAGGCCTTGCTGCCAGAGTAGGTGGCCAAGTAAGGGGTAGGCATCCAGCCGGCAAAGGAGCCCATGGTGAGAATGAGACCGCGCTTGCGCTGCTGCATGATGGGGGCGACGACCTGGGTGGTCTTCAAGGTGCCGAGGCAGTTGATGGCGACGATGTTCTGGAGCTCGCTGCGGGCGGTCTCGAGGAAGGGGACGGGGATGCTGTGGCTCTGGCCGACGTTATTGATGAGAACACCGACGTCGAGGCCGTTGACAAGCTGGGCGAGTCTGTCGTAATCGTTGTTGTCGTCGCGGGAGAAGTCCATGGCGAGGATCTTAACCTGGATCTTGCCATCGAACTTGGCCTCGAGCTCGTGAGCGAGGGTCTCGAGCTTGGACTGGGTTCGGGAGACGAGGACGAGGTTGAAGCCCTTACTGGCGAGCTGGTAGGCGAACTCCTTGCCGAGACCGTCTGATGCGCCGGTCACGACGGCCCAGGTGCCAGGCTTGCCATACTTGCGAAGCTGTGCGACTTCGTTGTCAGTGTTTGGACATCAATGATAGGTGGGCGAGATGCTCGGGAGCACATACGCTGGTGCCACTAAGCAAAAAGACACCAAGCACGAACTTGACATAGCTCAGAGCCTTGGAGGTAAGGAAGAGAGCACCAATACCAGCTAGCAAAAGCTGGACAGGTTGCGGCACATAGGCCAGTTGATCGGCGATTCCGCCCATTGTGATGAGTCGTCACTGATCTCGCTGAATGAAATCGAGAATTTGCTGTTTGCTGAAAGGAGGGGAAGAAGCTTTCCAGATCCTCCGTGGAATTCGCACAGCAGCACAGACAAAATGTTGGGATTGGCAAATGGTGGAAAATGCACTTCCAAAATCGCATCAGCCACACCTCGGCACCTCCCTCAATTGTTGAACCTACGCCAAGCTGCCGGAGAGCTTTGGCCAGCTTTGATGAGCCAAAGTCAAGCCACAATGCGATAGCTCCAGCCACAAAACATTCACTCCATCTCTTTTTTTTTCTTTTTTCTTTTTTTTTGGATTCAATCCGAATACGAAGGACCAGAAGCTTGGGGCAACTTAACGCTGAGCTAAGGAGATGCCGGCGTGATGTCCACTCTTTTCCTTTGCGACTCAATTTCCCTCCTTTCTAAGTCTACACCACTCAGCGCCAATTGAGCTTCACGGGATTTGAATACAGCAATAATGGTGTCTCTCACGGATTTGCTTCCCCCAGCAAAGGGTATCTTACCCTACTACATGCTCCTGGTAAGGTTTTCAAGAACGAACTGAACCCCCGCCAGAAGCATGTCACTAACCAGCAATACTCTCTCAGCTCTCTCTCATCTCCATCGGAAACTCGGCGCAGAACCTCCTGACTCTCCACTACTCCCGCCGCCTTTACGACGGTAAATACGTTCGCAACACGAAGCTCGCTCCCAAGTCCGATAAGTTCAACCCGGAGGACTCGGTCAACAAGTACATCCCCGCCCCCGCCGGCGCGACGGACGTTGTGGATCAGGCGACACCTCTCGCTGCGCGCTGCTTCGGCACCTGGACGTTCCTCACGAGCATCGTCCGTCTTTATGCCGCGTACCATCTGCACCACGCCCACATGTACGACCTGGCCATCTGGACCTACGTTGTTGCGTTGGGTCACTTTGCCAGCGAGTTGTTCGTCTTCAAGAGCATGACATTTGGTCTGCCGCAATACTTCCCCTTCACCCTGGCCACCACTGCCTTGATTTGGATGCCATTGGTGCGCGACTTTTACGTTACTAGCCCGTAAAGGGTTGATATTGTTGAAAAGTAGCCTGCGGAAGCCGCTAGAGACGATAACCTGATACCACATGAAGGCATCCTGTGATCTCAGCTTCTGCGCAGAAATGGGACTTTAGGATCTCTTTAGTTAAATCACGAAATGACGAGGATAGATAAAGCTTAGAAATGTTGTAATTACGAAGATGGTACTATTCATGGTATGGTCTTTTGTCTGGTTCACTGAATGGTCTTGCGGTACAGCTCACCGCCGGTGCCCCTGAGTCGAGCGGCGGCCTGCTCCGGTGTGATGTCACGCTGAGGCTCAGCCATCAGCTCGTACCCGACAAGGAACTTGCGGACGGTCGCTGAGCGAAGCAGAGGGGGGTAGAAGTGCATGTGGAGGTAGCTGTTGTTGGCCTCTTCTTCGGTGGCATCGAGAGGTGCTTGGTGGATCCCAGAGCCTATCGAGTCGTCAGTGACATCTCCATTATTGCCCTTCACAAGCTGAACTTACTGTAAGGGAAGTGTGTCTCAAAGAGGTTGTCGTATCTCCTGGCAACCTCCTGAATGGCCTCGGCAAACTGCAACCTCTCCTCAGCGGACAGGTCGACCAGCGCGCGAACGTGTCTCTTGGGAAGAATCAAGACCTCAAAAGGCCAGACACCCCACCAGGGAACAACGACGAGGAAGTGCTCATTCTCAAACACCGTGCGCTCCTTCTTCTCAATCTCGACCTTGACGTAGTCCGCCAATAGATGCCTTCCAGCGTGCTGATCACGGTACTTGCCCATCTGCACCAGCTCGGTACCCGGCTCCTCAGGCATGGTAGACGTCGTCCAGATCTGGCAATGCGGGTGCGGGTTCGAGCAGCCCATAGCGGCGCCCTTGTTCTCAAAGATTTGCATGTAGCGCAGGTGGTGCTTGGGTTGGGGCACGGTGCTCGCGGGCGTCGCGGGGGGCAGCTCGAGGGCGGCGGCGACCTTGGACAGCGGGTTGGAGGGGGAGAGGTGGGAGGCGTAGATTTGCGTCCAGACGTCGATGACAGGGGCAATCTCTGCGGTCGTCATGTCGGCGAGCGTGACGTGGTGCTTCTCGGAGAAGGTGAGCACGTAGCATTTGCCCGTGGCCGCTTCCGCGCGCAACAGGGACGAGGCGAGGTCTGCTCGAGTTGCAATGTCAGGGTTTGGTTCGCTTGAAGCCTGTGAATGGGTGCATGTTGCATACCATCGCTTTCTGTCTCTGGCTGGTACTCAGCCTGCTCCTCCTTGACGGCGCTGTAGTCGTTGACAAAGACGAAGGTGTTCTTGTAGTCGGGGTTGGAGTCACCAGCCGCTCTAGGGTTTCGAGGGCAGAGGTAGCACTTTATCTAGTCAGCTCATGCCTGTTGACTCTATGCGACTCGATGAGAACATGCCTTTGGGTCGTATTCAGGAAGCGTCGTCGTAGACGGTCCCTCCTGCTGGCCTCTGTCCACCTCAGCGCATGTCGCATTGCAAGTCAGGTTTAGCGCATTCTTACTGCCAGGGACGCTTGGTCCGGTGAGGGGACACCAGTAGCCATGTGCCCTTCAACGGGTTGTACCGTCTGTGAGAGATGTCGTCGAGGATCTTCTCAGGCATGGTGATGCTTCGCCTCTCCACGCTGGGGAACGTATAAATGAAGGCGGGGAAGCTTTGCGACAACAAGTAACAAATCTGAGTACTGCCGCGAGACCCAGAGCAGGAAGTGAAAGGGCCAAGAAAAAAAGAGCCTCGAGTTTATTTAAACAATCTTGTTATTGTTCAGACTAACTTAGTACGGACGAGAGAGAAAAATCCAGCCCTCGGCCGCGACCTGCCGAATGACAGTCAGGCTAGGTATTAATAAGGAGGTGTAGAGCTGCCACAAAACAGCTCATCAAAAGTGACGGTCGTATCCCTGCCTCGAGAGGTTTCGCGCCCATGCCTGTCGGGTTTGTTGGAGAAAAGGAGGGGACCGCGAAGACTGCCCCGCGAACCCCACCATCGCAAAGCGCACCATTGTCGTGCGCCCATCGGTGCCATCTTATCCGCAGTAAGCAGCGGCGGGAAAGCGGCGG